CAAATCAACCGACCAATAAACCAACCAACCAATCAAAGATTAGGTGAATAATCAGCCAATAAACCAGGCCAGTCAATCAACCAACCAGCCAATCAACCAATCGGAATACTAACTAAGCTGTCAAAACCAACCAATCTACCAACCAACCAACCAACCAACCGGTCATTCAATCAACCACTAAACCAAATAACCTTCTCGTTGTACTTAAACTCATTCAAATCATTTTGGTACATTTCGGCCCATGCCTCCAGTCTCGCTGGAGTTCTCCACAACAATTTCAAATATTGGAAGACTACCGTTATGATCTGAGTGAGTGAATGAATGAGTGAATGAATGAGTGAGTGAGTAAGTGAATGAATGAATGAATGAATGAATGAACAAATGAATGAATGAGTGAGTGAGTGAGTGAGTGAGTGAGTGAGTGAGTGAGTGAGTGAGTGAGTGAGTGAGTGAGTGAGTGAGTGAGTGAGTGAGTGATACCACAAACATTTTGAACATTTTCGAGGCCCTCGCTGGTGAGGAAGAAGAGGATTCGAAAGATTGAGTAGCAGGAGTTCAGATCCTGGCTGCTACCGTTGTTACCACATAGCATGTTCACTACCCAACGTCTATTGCGGTTGTGGAGTGTTGTGACGTAATGATGATGTGGTGATTGTGGTGTAGTGTGTTGTGGTGGTGTGGTGTGGTGTTGATGTGGCAAAAACTGTACCTCCTACGTAAGGTTGAAAAAATGCTTCCATCGCCTTGATCGCCGATATTGTTCTCCAGATAGTATAGCGGTTTCTTTCTTTCAAACAATCAATCAATCAATCTATCATTCCTTCATTCAATTGCTCGCACACTCACTCACTTACTCACTTACTCACTCACTCACTCACTCAATCAATCAATCAATCAATCAATCAATCAACTACTCAATGATGACAATAATAGTAATATTATATAAACGATGACGACGACGACAAGGATGATGACCATGAGGACGCACCTATAATGCTTCAACATGCTTGGTAGGGACCAGGTGATCTCCAGTTCTTTAGTTGATAAAACCGGAATAACTGATGACGATGATGATGGCGATGATGATAATGAAGATGAAGATGATAATGAAGATGAAAATGATAATGAAGATGATGTGCTTATAATACTAGAAGCAATGATGTAACACCATCTTCATAGTCAGACCATCATCTTCATAGTTATAAATATATATATATATATATATATATATATATATATATATATATTTATAATGGCAATTACGAATCAATATATCATCACTTCTATAGATCTTTCTAAACTCTGGAGTATCAAATGGATCCTAAAAAAGAACGAATCATCAACATCAATCATCTTCATCACCATCCTAGTCACTATTACCCCTCGAATGTTGTCGAATGAATCAACAACACACGCACGCACATACATACACGCACACACACACGGCGTATACGTATATTTATAACAACAAATCGTTTCACTAACAACTCATCTGTCATCGCGATCAATATCGCCATGCTATCATCATCATCATTACTACCATCATCACCATCGACATTATCATCATCAGCAGCAACAGAAGCAGCAGCAAAAGCGGCAGAAGCAGTAGCAAAAGCGGCAGAAGCAGTAGCAAAAGCGGCAGAAGCAGCAGCAATAGCATTACTAAATATTACAAAAATACCAACCCCGTATCTACTAAAGTCCTCCCGTCTCTCTGAACTAAATCATTAAATTCATTTAATTAATAATTTTGAATAATTAAAAATTACCATAAATATATTTCAGTTATAATTAGAATTATTACGATGACGATTTCAATTATAATTATAATTACGATGGCGATTTCAATTATAATTAGAATTACGATGGCGATTTCAATTATTATTAGAATTACGATGGCGATTTCAATTATAATTATAATTACGATGACGTCACGAATAACGAAATGATGACGACACCTGCACGGTACTCGCTGAAATATCGCTCGGATGCATTCCTCCACTTCCGCCGGGTTTTCTATCAGTTAGAGTATCATCACTATCACCATCACAATCATCCCCATAATCATCATCACCATCACAATCATCATCACCACCAACATCATAATTATCACAATCATCATCATCATGGCCACCAACCTTATCACCACCAAACATCATCATTATCACAATCATCATCATGGCCACCAACCTTATCATCCTCCTCCTCCTCCTCCTCCTCCTCCTCATCATCATCATCATCATCATCACTACAAACAACCACCACAACATCTAACGATCCGTGTAGACGGCCAGCGTCATGTTCTGGGCGACGTAGTGTTTCTTTCTGAAATCCTGCAGGGCCTGGTACACGTCCATCTTGTCCCGCGCCGGTATCTCCACCAAAGTTTGAAAGTTTCCTGGTGATGATAATGGTGATGATAATGGTGGTGGTGGTGGATGAAGCGGTGGTGGTGGTGGTAGTTGTAGTGGTGGTGGTGACAATTACGATGATGATAAGGATGATGATGATGATGATGGCGATGATGATAAAAAGTTGTATCGCCGACATGAATACCACCATGTTTGCACCATACACGTCATCGTCGTCAATATCATCAGCACGGACATCATCATCAACATCATCAACAACTACATCATCATCATCATAATCATCGACACGGACATTACTATCACAACTAACCCCACATAAACTTGCTGACTGGGTGATCGGGTCGGGCCATGCTTGTGAGGAGCAGTTGTTCGAACCTCGCCCTCTCCTTCTGTAAACTCATGCCCCATTCTTAATCATCATTATCATTACCCTCATCATCTTTATCATCGTCATAGTCATCAGTATCATAATTCTCATCATCGTCATCCTCATCATCAGCAGCATTTCCATCACCATTATCATCAACATTATCATAGTTATCATTATCATTATTACCATTACTATCATCAATATCATCATCATCTTCGTCGTCGTCGCCACTCACTAACCACGATCAACCACAGTGGCTTCCGCCAGCATATTCTTTCTTTCCATCAGTGGACTAATGAAGAACTGAGCAAATCTTACAAATGATGATGATGATGATGACTTAATGGTAATGATGATGATGACGATGATGATGACGATGATGATGACACAATGGTAATGATGACAAGGATGATAATGATGATGATAACTTGCCTATCCAAGGCTTGACAGAGATATTTGCTGTGGATTTCAAAATGGAAATGGGTCTGCCGTGAGGGAAATTCATCTCAAATAAGTGCCAGTAAAAAATAAGAATTAAAATAATAATTAAAATAAATTAACAAAAAAATAAAATACCAAAAATAGAATTAAATATAATTAAAATAAAAAAAAACCAATGCCACTTGAAACAGATAGCGGTCAGAAAGCAGTAACCTCACATAACAGTTACGACAACAACAACATTCAATTACATTCAAAATTTAGACCTACCAATCAGCTGCAGTTGTGCAGGGGTGGGCTAACTAAAGCACTACATAAAAATTCGGCATAAAATACAACAAAAATTAATAACAAAAAACAAATAACCAAAAAAAAGGGTAGATAACATGCAACAACCCTACCATACCCTACTCTTACCAGACCTTTTCATAATCTGTGTGGGCGTTTGTACTGCCCGTATGGGCCTTCAAAAAGGTATCGAAGTCCGTGGATTCAGGGTATTTTTGAGAACCCATAAACACCACTTTAGTTGGATATAAAAATTCACGCAGGTGTTTTTATAGTGCGAATAAAATGAATATGGTTGCAGATGTTTAATAATTAATAAATTCGCCCTTGATTAGTTTCGTGTTATTCCTTTGTGTCATTAGTTTGTAAATTCAGACCAAATTACGAAAATGAACATTTTTGCTTGTATACGTGCCTCATACAAAAAATGTAACAGTCAGTTTTAACATTTCGTCAGCATTCGAACCAGGCCACCACTCTTTCAGCTAACCGATCAGCCAAATCGGATAACAAGTCATGAACAAATAAACTCGTATTCAATGCTGACGAAGAATAAAAAAAATGATGGATACTGATACATAAGAAGCACATTCAAAAACGTTTAGAATTTTAATTTTTAATGCGATGTAGAAAAATAATTCATCTGATAAATAACTATTTAGCATTTTAAACAGATGATCTCTTGGGTACACTTATTGAGATAACTTGAAAGGTTAAAAATTATCTTCCTTACTACCTAACTACCTAAAAACGCAATTAGGTGACATCTATAAACAGCCAAAAACTGAAACAAAATAATGAAATGAAGAAGTGACTATGTTCCAGGTAGTGTGCAAGTCCTGGGATGTTCCTCGGCTCTGACATGCTGCCAACTCCAACACACAATGAGGCTGCTGACTGATTGAGTAATTATTTCATCATCTACCATCAACATCATCATAGTCATTTTCATCTTCATCGTCGTCGTCATCATCGTCATAATTAATATCTTCATCACTGCTGTCACTTCACCATCAGCCAATTTTACAAACATCTCAGACAAATTTTTCAAAAAAGTTTTTATTTTGAATTTGTATAGAGCACATGCAATCAACTTAATGCACACACAGCTTACGTAAATGTATTCTAATGTACGAGAATGTATTCGCATTCGAAACCCGTCACTTCGACATAACATTAGACACTTCATCGCAATACTACCTACGTTATCATCATCTAATTGCGTCATTGCCGTAATCATGTTTATCATCATTTTGTAAAAAAAAATCAGTCGTTTTATTTTTGATTTGAATCGCTCTCATGACTCCAGCAATCATAATAACAGTAGTTGCAACATTAAACACCACAAAGTTAATGTTGCAAGAGGAAAAAAATGGTAATGCCAAAAACCATCAACTAACAATCAGACCATCATCACCATCGTCACCGTCATCAGAGAGTTCAGGAGGTTTAGATTTTGCTGATCTTGCTAATGAGGTTGATGACTTTTTTGTGAAGATGATGTCCGCTGATTTCAAATAAATTATGATAAAATGTACATAGGAATAATTATAATTACAAACCATCATTAATTTTTCTATAGTTTGATTTTGAAAAATTTTAAAAATATGACTAAAGTCTGACAAAAAAACGTTGTGATCTTCAATTGAAATAGATAAGTTTTCAATCAGTTAAACTAAACAAAATTAAAAAATTATATATATTTGAAAAATTATTTTTATATTTCATTCTATACTTTGTTCATTCTCAGATGGATCTTTGTGATGAAAGGAAAATTTCGTCGCCTTCGTTTGCTTGTTTCTCAACTTTCCATATTTCCTCCTTGATGGTTTTGATTGGCGGGAATTAGTGCTTTCGGATGCAAAAATTTCCGAATTATTGATAGTTTCAGTTTCGGTTTCACTTATTAATAGAACGATCAGTCCATTTTCAAGTCTAAAAACTCTTTTAAATTAAATAATGATAAAAGAATGATTATTATTATTTGGTTATAAAATCATTAGCATTTTAATTTAAATTAAAATTCAAAATTAAAAAATTTATAATCCATTAACACTAAATTAACAGTCATTATCATTAACTTTGTTAACCTTTTATGATATATAATTAATGTTAATTAGTTAACAAATTAATTAATTAATCAAATTGAATATTTTATTTTTTAAAAATAATAAACAACAACTTATAATTTCTGAGATCCAACTCACTCTTAGTAACCACAATAGCCATTTAAAAAAATTAATTTAAAAAAATGTTAAACATATTTGAATAATATTACAGTTTAAAATTAAAATAATAATATTATATATAAATTTTTATTTTGCAAATTTATTTATTTAAATTAATTTATTCAATCTAATTTCATTTAAAAACCAGAACAGGCAGACAAAAAACGCTTAGTTCACATTTGAATTTGAAAACAAGGAATTGTATGGAAAGCGAGTTTTTCCTTATCAAAAAATGTTCTTCATAAATTTTATAAAATAATTTTTTCTATACATTTTTACGAATCAAATCAAAATCAATCAAAATAAATCAAAAGTATTTATCTATAATTAGTTTTAAGCATAAATTAATAACAAATAAATAGATATACTAACAAAATTAGCCTGTAAAAAAGTGTAATAACAACATCATGAATTATTATATAATTGACTTATAGATAGCAATAGGATAGACAAGCGCTGATCATGAAAATGAATTATTGTGAAAATAAATTTCTCAATAAAATAACAAAAAATGTGGAAATATATAAATATGTATATAAAAAAAAGCCGAAGAAAAAAAAATTGCAAGAAAAAGGTTTTCAATCATTCCTAGCTGTCAGGTAATTAAGTCTATCCGAGTTTCTGTATAATTTATCTGCATAGATTGGTTATATATCTGGATTTATAATTTGCATACATTCATTTATTCATGCCATCATTTTTTCATCCATCCATCCATTCATCCATTCATTCATTCATTCATTCATTCATTCATTCATTCATTCATTCATTCATTCATTCATTCATTCATTCATTCATTCATTCATTCATTCATTCATTCATTCATTCATTCATTCATTCATTCATTCATTCATTCATTCATTCATTCATTCATTCATTCATTCATTCATTCATTCATTCATTCATTCATTCATTCATTCATTCATTCATTCATTCATTCATTCATTCATTCATTCATTCATTCATTCATTCATTCATTCATTCATTCATTCATTCATTCATTCATTCATTCATTCATTCATTCATTCATTCATTCATTCATTCATTCATTCATTCATTCATTCATTCATTCATTCATTCATTCATTCATTCATTCATTCATTCATTCATTCATTCATTCATTCATTCATTCATTCATTCATTCATTCATTCATTCATTCATTCATTCATTCATTCATTCATTTAGATTTGATGTACCACATATCATAGCGTGTAATAAATCATTATTCGTTATTAAGCTTTTTAACTATCAGCAATAAATGTAAAGAATATGGGTTGTGTGTGTGTGTGTGTGTGTGTGTGTGTGTGTGGTGTGCGTGAACTTATTCCACTCATCTCGAATGAGTTTTAAAGTAAAAAAGACGCGCGTACCAATTCAATAATTACTGATTGTTAGTATGATAAAATAAATTATCAAAAATTTTAACAAATTGATTAACGAAATGTCATTAGCTTATTTCAAATCTAAACATTCCACTAATCCGAATTTAACATCGACTAATGACGGACACCAAGCCCACAACTTCTAAACTCTTGATCTAAACGAAACATTAACTAAAGAAAGTGATAAAAAGCGATAAGTACAAGTTTGGTAATAAGTACAATACATGCTATTTACCTTTAATAGCTTTATTATAATATGTTTGCGACTGTAGCAAAGACCTATATATTTATTCTACATATATGCTACGTGCTTTAGTATTTGTACATATTTTCAAGGAAGTACAGTTTAAGTGTACTTAAAGTTTACATCATAAAGGTTTAAGTTTACAGTACAGCAGATTTACACGCATTTAATGTATCTCGTTAAGAATTTTCTCACGCACGTTTTATTACGCCTTATGAGGATGTTTATATTCAATTATACGTCTGTTTTTTTGTGTGTGTGTTTGCGTGTTGTGGATGCGTTTTGATGCTATATGCGTGTGTGTGTGTGTGTGTGTGTGTTTATGGCATCCATCCATACATATATATCCCACGTGCGTGTTGATGATGTACAAACTCGTATGCAATGCACGAACTTCTGTTTTCTACATATTTCTTGCTTCTTATGATCACTAATCATATTTTCTTCTACCTGTCATACTGGGCATCAATCATCTTTTTTTTCTCATTTTCTGCTTCTTCTTACTTTTCTATTCAATTGAAATTATTTCCATAGCAGGTTGAGATTTTGCCATTTTAAATTTTGCTATCACATAATACATAACAAATCTCTCATGGCGGAGAACCTTCAGCACATCGTTCACTTGTTTGTTTTAGAAAGAAATGGACCAGAGTTTGAAAGGACAACTGCTTGGAGTTACTTTGATTTATACGCTTCGTACGTGAGCGTACCAGCATAACATAACAACAACACACAGATATCTTCTAACTGCCTCCAAACCAGCCAAACATGCAACTACGTAATCCCACCTCATATGATAAATGTGTAGTGCTCGTCTCTGAATTCATTATATACTTTTTCATAATTTATTTTGCATTTGAAGCAAGTTTCAGGCAAAAACGCAATACTAAGTTGTATCAACTTGACTAATTGCCAACCGGAGCAAAGTACGTTTTCATTTTAATCAATCAATATTCTGTCAAATTTTGAAAATTAATGAATTTTCCTAAATGAAAGATTTTTATTAAAGATATACTCTAAATTACAGGATTTCAACGACAAATATTTTAAAGGAAAAACAAATAAATAGTTTATTCATAAAAATTGTTTTCAATAAAGAAATAAAAAGAAAGTGAAACCATGAAACACCGGAAAAAACAAAAAGATTAATTTTGGCGTGTGTGGCCTGGACTCAAGACTCAGGCCAAAAGAAAACATAGAAATGCAGAACATGTTTTTATTGAAAAAAAAATAAGCATAACATGACAAAAAGATGCTTACTTACTTAAAGATGCTTACAAATATTTGAACACACAAAAAAATGAAATACTCTCTTTAATGATTTCTTAATCTTTATGATTCTGTCCCATCATTCTATCATGTCTTGTTATCATTACATGGT